TTTATCTTATCTTATTGTTTACTTTTTTTTTTAAATATCAAATATATTTTATTTTAAGAGAAGGTTTTTGTGGTGTAATATCATGTTTCTATATAACATTATCATAACATTGTGGCAGTTTAAACCGCCACAATTCTACGAATCATTTATTTTATTATTTGTCATGACAGTTATGACCGGTGCGAATTAAATTCAACACTTTATAATTTCTATCCCGTCGAATCTGGAACCGCCACGGGATGTCGTTGCAGCGAATTGCAATCACGACGGGTGTCCAATGATTTTAAAAATGCTACAAGTAAATTTGTGGCAAGTAAAACAGCCAGGAAAAGTCCAAATTTGTGCTTCATTTAGCTAGTTTATTCAAATATGTATGTATCTTAATTTTGGTTGCTAACTTCAACATCAATCAATAGATAAGTTATTATATATTGAAAGTGTTTTCAATGATCACATTATAAAGATGATTGTATGTAATCATTATTGAAGATTTGATCCCTATTATTAATTTAGTTATTGTGCTATGTTATTATTATTATTTTTTTCAATTAAGTCACTTGCCATGAAGCTTGGTAGTTTTTAAGTTCTTAATTACTAGTGCTATAATTCTAGTAGGTATAGCTCTTGTAAACTTGGTGGTTCTTAAAAATATGAAGAAACATAAGCATTCAATTTAATATTTTGTTCGTGCTTGCACATTTAAGAAATATGTGATCGATTTGAATTGTAAATATTTTAATAACATCTTTGTATGCAAAGGAAATGAAAATAGATGTATGGTAGCGTAAATTTGTATGATATACAATAAATTAGGTGTGGAGAATGTAATCATTAAATCATTCATTGGGTGATTATAGATAGTTTATTACAATTATAACTCAAAGGGAGATTAAGAGTGATGGATATACTAAGCAATTTATGCATTTCTTTTAATGTTTGTATGTGAAATCATTGATGATGATTCTTGAATATAAATATAAAATAATTTTTTGTCAAGTGAGAGCGTTTAAATGATAAAGAGCGTGATATGAAACAAATAGAACAAAAGATCAACACAAGAATATGATAAAGTTTAAAATTGTGTCACTGATGGATTGAAGTTTTATAAAGCCTTTGTAAACTTGTGTATGATAAAAGAAGGTGCAACATAAAGAAGTGTTTAGACAAAGTCAATGAATAGTTATACTAAAATTTTAATCTCCAAATGGGAGATTTTCAAGTCTGCATTCTGAAATTTTATGATAATCTTGGATAAGATTTTGTTTTTAGTTTTTAAGATTGATGGCTTCCAAACTCAATATTCATTCATACTTGATTTTCAAGATTGATACCAACCCAAGCTTTAATCACACTTATTTTTCCTAGATGGTGGCTATATAACTAAGGCTATCTTCACTTTTCATCTTTTAAATCTACCACCTCATGATAAAACCATAAAAAGAAAAATAAATTAATGATTATAAGCAATAAAAATTAATAAGCAACAAAAACAGGAGAGAGAGGGAAAGAAAGTGGAGAGGATGTCATCTAAGGAAGAAATGAAAAAAAAATTATTGGATGCATGTAATGGGAATTCCTTAGCTTCTAATTCAAGAAGAAAGAAGTGTTTCTATTTCTAGGTCTAACAAGAAAAGAAGATCTTTGTCATATCATACGATAGTTCTCATGTAGACTCCTATAAAAAAATGGTAAGCGAGTACTTGAAGCAATAATAACATCTCCTTCTTCGTAATTAGCTTATCTATATTTTGTAGCAGGTGATTGTATTTTCTTCCAGTTAGATAAATTTATGTATTTATCCATATCTCTAATTTTGCATGAAGTAGAATCTTTCATATATCACTATTTCGAGGCTTAGTGGATTATTCAGTATTTATATGATTATGGACATTGGCTTACTTATGAGGAACTATATAAATTTTAGAGTTATCTTATGTGGTGCTTGATATATCTTTTACAATTACATCATAGTTCATCATACTTGCACCCAGCTTGAGATGATCTAATTCATTAATAGTATCACCATTAAGAATATGTAGTTGCATTAGAGTGCATTGAACTTTTTCATAAACATAGTTATGCTTGATACACTTTATTTATATGAAAAGAATTATTTTAGCAATTGTTATCGAAATACTAGCAACACTTTAATTATGCATAAGCATGATAAGCTTTCTCAGTGAATCATAGTTAGACAAATAAATGACTAAAGTCACACTTTATTTATATAACACTAAATATATATATATATAGAATCCACTCATGCTGATATATATATATATTAGTCGTGGCATACAATAAACTAATCATCTCGATAAACACAACTACAAAGTAGAAAGACTACTAGAGGTCATAATACAACTCATCCTCAAGTTTTTTTAATCTTTTCTTGAAAATATGTAAAAATCACATAATGAGCATTATAACCTAACAAGTTACCAATATCTACAACTGAAATCATCATCATATACTCAATCATATCAATAACATATTAAATAACAATGTGGCCTTTCAATTTCACATCAATCCGTCAGATATCAATTTAGCATTCAAAATTAATGATCATCAGTAGTCAATATGTATAATGTATTATTAGTGCACGTATCCATATGATATGCAATATATGCAAAAACATCAATGTTATATAGACTATTTATCAATGTTATTAATGTATGCATGTATCAATGTAGAATTCAACAAGGCAAGACATCTAACTTTAATATGATGTTTTCATATCCTTCCATCTGTTATCTTGCATATTTATTCATCTGTCAAATTATATATTATCTTTTTTTCTTTTTTTTATTTACTTTTACAAGTGACTTTTAATAATCATTTAAGAGTCGTCATCCTCTACCTGTCGGTGTATTTATGTTAATCAGAAATATGCTACAACCAGGATAACAATATAAATCATCTTTAAAGAAAAGTCTGTCGGCCACCATCTTATGCAAGATATTATATTTTAACAGTGAGCCCACATTAATTATATTGTTAATAGTCAATCTTCCTTGCTTGTATGCAAATGTCACATTTATCTTATATCAGCTGTATCAATCTCTCTTTAAATTATGAAATACAACATTTGCTTAAATATATTAAATACAAAAAAAATTGTTTATTAGTCTATAACTTCAAAATTTTATAAATTTCACTTTACATGGTGAAATTTAGAAAAATTCCAATCAAAATGCTCATTTTGATGACATCTATCACATACAAAAAAGTATGCGGTAAAAGTTCACTTAAACGAGAGATATATATTTTTTTATCACATTCATGAAAGAAAAAACACACCAAACTCAAAATCATTGAAAAAATGTGCAAAGTAAAGGTTACTTACTATGAGTAGAACAACTTTCCTAACAAAAATAACTGATGAAAAATTATAAAAGTCCCCTTTCTCTTTCCTCTCTTTTCTCCTCTTCTTCCTCTTCTCCCTTTCCTTTCCGAGCAAGCCACCTAAATGAGGGAGGCAAATTGGCAAGGTGACTTAAGTGCTTAGGATTTTAGAATAAAATATATACAAACAATTGTTAGTGGCCTAGCGCTACAGTGCATCATATTGAATACAAAATTATTGCTGAATTGAGCATTCAATGTCACGATGATAATTTTAGTCCCTGTTGTGCTCTCAAGCACAACGCCGAAGCGCTACCAAGCACAACACAGAAGTGCTCTAGTTCAAATAAAATTTTAAATTTTTATTTTAAAATAGTTTCTCATATTTTTGGGTTGTTACACACCATCCATTGAAAGCTGCTCTCAATTCTCCTTCCTCTAAAACCATCTTTGCTCTCATATCAATCTCCTTTCCCATTCATGACAACTCAAATATTGCCACTTTTGACCCCCATCATTATAGATCATGTTCAATCTATACATTACACGCTTATGAATACTACATTCCCCATTCGTTATCCAGATATGCATCCTCATCATCTCCCACTAATTCTCATTGAATTTGTCACCTCCCCACCCTCCATGTGAATTTAGTAATGTTAAAGTCCATCAATGAAATGTTATTGCTAGATCTTTCACCATAACTAAATTTACAATGTACCCAGATCCACCTCAATCACACCAATCCAACTTTCATTTTTCATTTGAATATTAGTACAAACTTACCTCCTTTATCACCACCATTGAAGTCCTAAATCGATAACATCTTTGAATTATCCAATGACTTGCTTGAACTTAAGGGCAAGATCAATTTGAAGAGTGGGCAAAGTAAGGGATATAATTGTTATAATAACTATAATAGATGTTTTTTTGGGTTATGTTAGTGGGTGGTAAATAGGTAATGCGTCAAAGTGAGTTCTTGTAAGTCTATATATACTCTTCGTTGTGAATTTTGATAGACAATGAATAAAATGAGCTATTGCTCCACTCTCTTTTTTCTCCAATAAAATTTTAATCTATGGGCATCTTTGAATTACCCTTTTTCTTACCAAATATTTTTTTAGAGTTTTGTGCAATATCTCATTCTCTGACAACTAATTTTCTTGTTTCATTATTAGGTTCATATCACAACGACATACTATTATCCTATACAAGATGGAGGAGTTCAATGATAAAATTGAAGAACCTAAAGAAAAGGGCCTTGATGAAGTGCTTTCATAGAAGAGGATGATGAAGACAAGGGGCTTGATAAGGAGCAATTATTACGTCCGGGTCACCGAACGCGTTCATAGACCAATAACCACGTGCCACGTCACCTGAAACTCGATATTGAGCACTCGGTATACATTCAGATACGTTCAGATTTGACACGACATAATAATTGCTCCTTTATAAGAGGGTATATGAATTCAAATGGGGGTGTTTGGACGAAGCTTAAGAGCTCAATGGAGGATTATAAAGCATAATGAAGTAATGAAGTGATAATTTTGATAGGTTATAATTTAAATTTTATATAAATAAAAAATAAATATAATATAATATACAAATATAAATATATTAATTGATATCAATATAAATTCCTCATAACCGACAAAACATATGGATTTGCTTTTTTCGAGGACAGATCTACTTGCGGCATCGAGCAGCGGGCAGGAACAAGAAGGAGAGCGATAGAAGGGAGTGAGGACCAGCGAGGTCAATGAGGCGACCGGAGAGATCTGCTCATCTCATTGAACTCTAAGCCGAAACTGGCATTGTCATTCCCAATCCTTTTTCTTGTGTTCCTCTTTTTGGAAAGATAAGCATAAAGTAAGAGAGGAAGAGGGGACGATGGGCTGCTCCTTCTCCGGACTCAACGCCTTCTACGACGCGGCCAATGGAAGCGCCGACGTATGGATCAACGAGAACCGCTTCAGGATCGTGAGGCAGCTCGGTGAAGGTGGCTTTGCATTCGTCTACCTCGTCAAGGAGGTCGTTGCAGACGCCTCTGCGTCACCTGGTAGCCTTGCCGCCAAGAAATCTATCGACCCTTCCCATATTTCAGGTACTTATGATTTTAGAAATTTTGATTGACTCTCCAAATTTTTGATCTCAGAGCTTATGCGTTCTGTTTTGTGCTTGTCGTTTTTCTTAGTGCAGTTCTGCTAATCAGGAATATTTGTGAAATTAGGTTATTCTGGTTAGGGGATCCAGGTTATTGTTTTCATAATTATTAATTTTACTTGTTTGTTTCCCTTCATTATTGCAATGCACGTGCATCTGAAGTGAGAAGTTGCTTCTTAGGACATGCAGATCTCATTGATAATTAAATGGAATCAAATTGAAACTAGGATTTGCCAGAATTAGAACATACATGAAGCGGTAGAAATTGCTTTGGAGACAACTGCTGGTTTTTGTCACAATGATCAGCTTATAGTGATGATTGATTGAACTCGTGAGTCTCTTGCAGTACTAGTATTTGAATTCTTGGTTGTTAGCTTGGTTCTAACTGATTAAATCTTATAATTTTTTCCTTTGTTTTATTTACTTTGTTGATCAATCATACCATTTCACCTGCTTTTAAATGATTGATTGCACAAATTCAGCTGAACTATCCATATTATTTGTTTATGTTGATCATACTATCATGATAGGTGATGATTTGGAAGAAATTGAAATTTTAAAGAAAAATTATTCCAAGAATTTGAAGTCAAAGACTTTGGTAATCTAAAGTTCTTTCTTGGCACTAAAGTTTCACACTTTTGATATGGAGTTTGCATATCATAATAAAAATATATAACAAACATGTTGAAAGAAATGGGTAAGTTGCAAACCCATTGAGTTCCATGGAATTTAATTATAAGCTTGAAGATGCTCAAGATGACACAACAATGATATAGCTTTATAGCAAGAAGATTATTCTATTCATCATATAATACACTTGATATTACCTACGCCATTGGTGTGGTGAGCAAATTTAGGCACAATATCAAAACAAGCACATCTTGGAGCAGCATATAAAAATTCTACAATATTTGAAGCAAAATCTCGATCAAAGGAATTCTTTTCTAAAAGGTGAAATTTTACACTTGAAGCAAACATAGATACATATTATTTGGGTTCTTTGGTTGATAGGAGGCTAACTTCAGGATATTACACATTCTTAATAGGGAACCTCGTGAATTGGAGAAGTAAAAAAAACATAATGTGATAGCAAGATCTAGCGTAGAAGCCAAATGTAGGTATATGTCACTATGAATTTGTGAATTGCTAGGGCTAAACATTATCCTGAAAGATTTAAAGATCATATGAGAAGGTCTAATGGATTCAATTTTGATAACAAGTCAATTATCAATATTGCACATTATTCTGTTTAATATGACCATGAAAAGTATGTTGTAGTTGGACACTTTATAAAGGATAAGCTTGACATTAGTCTAATATGTACTTCTATTGGCCTCCTCCACTGTTGCTGCCCCTTTTGGTGAATCATGCGGCCAAGGAAGAAAATGAAATAAATGTAGAAAAGGCAATTTCAAATTCTATTCAGTTATCTAAAGCAACATTTTAAATACTTTTGAAAAAGCGAAGGCAATGGAGGATAGCAGAAGAGAGCAAGAGAGCTTCATGTAGACGCCATCATTTACTGTAATGAAGGGATGGGAATAAATTCATTATATAGTTATGGCAAACAAACATAATTTGTTTATAAAAATGAGCCACTTTTACAAAACCTTAGAAGATGTACTTGAGTCACATGCTTGCATAAAGTGGTAGAGGTGCGTAAAGTCATAGGAGTGTCACTTGCCTAAGTGATTGCCAAAGTCGATCTCCATGAGTTTTCTGTCATGGAGGTCTTCGACATGTGGAATGGCTAGCTTCCAATGGAATAATCGAACTAAAAGATTTGATTGTAGCATGCTCGCCCCTTAGAAAGTGTAGCATGCTCGCCCCTTCGGCTTGCGACAGCCAGAATTAAGGCAATGTGGAGAGAACTCAGCGGGAGTTTCTATTGTGAATGGGAATATGAAATAAAAAGAGCAGATTAATATAATCTTCATGGGATGTTATTATTCCAACAGAGAGGTCTACGTCAATCTAGACTTCAACCATGGCCTCTTTCTTGACACAATGAAGATTATCTTTGGCATGTGCGCATTGACTGTTTATTGACTATCCATTTGGGTGGAGGAGGCAAAGGAAGAGAAGGGGATGGAGATAGGGTACTAATGGACCTATGTTGCACAAATACACCTATTTATGAAGGCGTGTTGTATCTGATACACCGATACACGGATACGTCTCTGATACGGCACTGATACTTGTCGGATACGGCTTTGCCATATCCAATTAAAATATTATTTAGTTTCAAAAGAACACGCGTATCCGCATGTTAGTTGAAAAACAAAAAAATATCAAAAAAAAAAGACCCGTTGTATTTACTTCCACGGATGCAAGCGAGGTTCTCTCATTTCCAATATAGATTTGAGTTTCTTGATGATATGGGAAATTAGAAATTGCTAATCTTTCACTTGATGAGCATGAATTAGAAGCTATGATATTTATTGAAGATGATATAGAAGTTCAAAGACAAACCACTGAAAAAGCTAATCATATCATTCCTTCTATTGAATAGTTCAAACTTCATGTACTAGACAATTTATGTTTATGCTTCTGTTGTTGTATTGGACATTTAATGCTTATTTTTATTTTGATATTATAAGCTACAAGGCTACAAAAGATGTTACTTTCATTTTTTTTGTAATTTCAAATATTATCCTTTGATTGTTTTCTTAATTTTTATGTATGATTTATAAATTATAATGCCGTGTCCGCGTCGTACCCGTATCCTGTATTTTTAAGAATTGACATGTCCCGTATCCGTGTCGCCGTATCCGTATCGGTGCAACATAGTGATGGACTGAGCATGGGAAGGGGGAATCCATTAAGATATAACCTTAAGGAGTCGGCTGTGTTACGTACACAGTCTGAGCAGTTCCTATAACCAATCACATTTGCATGATTTTTTTAAAAAATTAAATTTTGAGAAAATTGTGTTCAGGAATCACTCGTTCTTCTTGCATTTACTGACTGCCATTTTCTCTCTTGTACCTTTTGCCTTGATATGATAGATATTATTGATTGATGTAGTATTACCCTTTCCTCAATCTACCATTCTACGTCTATTGCTTTGTTGATGACAAGTAACTGTCTTGCTAGTAGCATTTGTTTATTGTCTTCTTAAATTTGGTAATCTTACCATTTTCTCTACTATTAGATCTAAAGTGTATATTCTGATGTTTCCATTCCTGCTTAAAATATATAAAAGTTGATATTTTACACGTCTTTGATTTATGCCAATTGCAGGCTCAGTATCGTAGAAGTTGAGAAGTCTTTGTAGCTGTCATAGGAACCTAGTTTTTATCAGATGTTAAAATTAATATTTTTTCATGGTTGTATTAATTTGTTAATTAGACATCTTCATTCTACTGAATTAATTAGAATTCTTGTAGTACTGTTGTATTATGGTAAACCTTATTCCTGTTCTTCCACCTTTGAAGCAATGTGATGGACCGGACTGGCCGGTCCAGCCCACAGCAACACCGGCCCAAAAAGGGCCGGTTCTCACGTACTGCAGGCGGAGAACCCGCCTGCCTGGGCGGTCGTTTTTCTTGAGAAGATATGGCATGTCTTCTTTTCAATATGCTACATATACATATATATATATATATATATATATATATATATACATATTGCAGATGATTTCTGAGTCGTTGCTAATTATGTTAAATTTTTTTAAGAATTAAATGTGGATGACTAGGGAATTAAGAAAGAAGGAATTTAGAGTTGAACTTGATGTTATAAGATACTTCTACGTAATTCTTATATTTAATGTTATTTTGCTCTTGTAATATTGGATTTCAATTCTATTTCACACAATTTATCACTTGTCACTTTACGTTTTGTGCAATTTTTAATTTCATATGTATGTCAATTTTTCATTTTATAGTTCAGTAGAAAGTTAATATGTCATTATTTAACATATTATTTGGGTATTATACAAAAAAATCACTTTTAACCTTTATTTTTCACTTTACGCAATATTTGGATTTTGATGCTTACGCCTTAAGACTTATGGATCTGCTCACGAGTGAAAAAAGCCTCAATACCCAATTGCGCAATTTTAAACCTTGCTTATATAATCACATTTATAATGGAGTTGAGTAGAACCATCTTCCAAAGAGTATTATAAGGGAGAATCTTCTTATATTCCAAATTTACCGAATCCTGATTATCAAATTGTCAGTAAATCTGCCAAAATAGCCTTTTGAATAACATTTAGTGATGATGTGGCAGTACGAGATTTATTATAGCTTCTTTCGTGTCATGTTTTATTCTAGTTGACATGATTGTTCAATTTATCATTTCCTGTTTTGTTTGAGATACCTAAATAAGATTTCATTATGAAATGTTTAGGAATACCAAATTATAAAGTATTAACGAGTTATTATCTTTTTTATGTTACTTTAGATGACGGCACATATGCTTTGAAAAAGGTTCTCATTCAAAGTCAGGATCAGTTAGAGTTGGTGAGAGAGGAGATCCGTGTTTCTTCTCTTTTCAATCACCCTAATTTGCTTCCGCTTCTTGATCATGCCATCATTTCTATTAAGGTAACACTTTCTTCTATTGAACAGTTGAATAATTACAATTAACTTCTCTCGAATGATTATACTGTTTTTTTAAGCTTACACCTTTGCTTTTGATTCATAAAGCATGACTTCTTTATTAAAGAATAAAGCTTGAATTTTTTTGTTACCGTACAAGTGATCTGAACTAGGGCCGAAGAACCAATTTGTGGATTTAGATTCTACTTAAAAAGAGAGAAGTAGAAGAGATGAGAGAGATCGAGAGAGCAATTTTTGTAACATATAATTGTAGAACCTGGACAAGCTTTCTCTATTTATAATAGGATATGAGATGTGATGAAATAATAGAAGGACATTAACTTATGGATTGTAATATTAGTGTAATCAAAATATTAAAACATTGATCTTTCATAGTTGATGGATCTTTTATGAATTGATCCTCCAGGTAAAGCAACTTTAAACTACATTTTTATTACATAAGCAAATTTATAATATCGGGTGCTGAAATATTCAATATGGCAAGTTCAAATAAGGTAAATATAGAGTTATAGACATGTCAAATGTTGTGTCCAATCACCTTTCCTGCGGTGGGAAAACTCTTCCTGAAGAGTTGAAGAGGAATAACTGGTGTCCATAATGTGCGATGTTGGAACATGTTATGTATGTCTTATAGACTTAGAAGTTCACAAGCTTTATAGGCTTACGGTAGTGGAGGTGGCCAATGTGGATTATGAGAGATGAGCGGACATGTCAATGAATGATCACCCTTTGGAGAATTTGGCGGCTTCAGAGCTGAATTTTGGCATACATCATGAATTAGATTCCAATAACAATCAAGCTGTGATAGTGGTGGAAATATGCTACTCTATATGTTTGGAGGAGTAAATAATTGCATAGGGAATTAATGATCTTGTGTAACCATCTCAATAGTTGGTAGAAATTTTGGACATCTACATATGCTATGATATATGTATGGGAACCTATATGATAGTCTAGTGGTAGAGCTAGTGCAAAGAAGTCAACTTATGATGGAGTGAACAATTGTACATGAATTTGAGGAACAAGTTGAATTTCCATTTATAAAGGTTGGTTAGCAACTATAGTGATGGAGAACTCCATAGGCTTAGGTGTAACATTAGCATCTTTTAGATCCTCCGATACAATAATCTCCTCAGTATAATGAATATCCAAATCACTTAATCAATTGTAGGTTGATCATTGGCATCATTTATTTCAGTATATTTATCTTCAAAACTAGAATCATCCTCGTATGTATCCTCAAATGATTATTTTTAATCTCCTTACTTTTGGTGCTTAGTTTACTTGTGTCCTTGGAATTTCAGTCTTGATCTTGTTATTAATTTGATGATCATGGAGATCAATCAACATAATTATTGTCATGATCTAAAAACAAGTAGTTCACTTTCACAATCACTCTTCTTATACAAGCCATGTAATAAGCTTCAATAACACCTGTAGGAGATCATCTCAATCTGCAATAATCTCATCCAGATTGGTATATGCTTGCTCCTTATATATATTCATGACGTATTCTCCTTAAAATTTGATCTAATGCTTCCTTTTAATGATGAAGTTCTTCAACTTGGGGTCTTTCAGGATCACAAGAAGTAGATATGGCGCATTTCTACTAAAGATAGGTTGGTGAGGCTGATTGTGTGAACTCTGTGAAGATCATTGTGCAAGTAGGGTATCAACGTAGTCATAATAAGCCATGAAGTCAAGAGAGATGGTGATAAAGATTGCTAGGAAGGTAAGTGTGTAAGGATATTGCTGGTTAGCAAAAGTAGGGAAGTGCTATCTTGGTGCATGTGGATGTTGCATAAGGTGGTTGTGGGGATATGTGAGAACATGCAAGTGGATAAAACAGTGGATTATCCCTCATAGGCTAGTGATTGATGACAGGACCCTATTGAGAAGGAAGTAGATGCTGCCGAAATGGTAAGATCACTGTTAGGGTACTCATGCAAGCAGTTAGAGTGAAAGATGATGAATTATGTAATAGATGGTGGGTGGGGGCTATGACAGGTAAGTACATAATGGAACAAAAGAAAAAAGGATGATGTATGGGTTATGGGCTCTAGTAGTTAGCAAGGGGGGATTTTTAGAATTGCACAATCGTGGAGGATATGAAGTATGAGAGTTAGGTGGCATTACGTCACTGGATTGGTCGCATACTATGCAGCAAGGGTGGGTTTGTGGTGGTGTCCCTTTGGTAGTGAGTGAGTGATAATGCAGGATGAGGGGTTGCGATCATATGGTCTGTGCTATGGCGGAGGGAATGAGCATGGGTGATGGGGCACTCGAGTGCTACAGAGAGCAGTATGTGCAACATAAAAAGAGAGCTGGTATGAGGTGAGTTTAGAGGGAGATGGTAGAATCCTAAGAAAGGGAGGGGTTAAGAACAAATGTGCGGTGAGTCAAGTGTGATTTGGGAAGTGTGATTTGGGAAGAAAGTCACGGGGATGTCATTTTTGCAATGAAGATGTTATGTTGTTTCCGCAACATGAGTTTGTATGTAGATCACACACATACATGCTAAACGGTCAAACACGATCTAAGGGGAAACGATGAAAGGATCTCTTTTGCTTGGATACAAGTAGGGGTGTCAATTCGGGTCAACGGGTCGGGTTCGGGTCAAACCCGGAACTGACCCGGCACTATTCAGGTCAACCCGAACCCGACCCGTTTTTAAAAACGGGTCAGGTTTTTGGACCCGAACCCTACCCGATTCGGGTTTGGGTCAACCCGACCCGACACGAATGACCCGAAGTTGACCTAAAATTGCTAGTTTTCAAGTAAAAAATCGGGTCATTATTTGATTTTCGGGTCAATCACGGGTTTCCGGGTCGAATAGGAGCTTTCGTGTCAATTTCAGGTCAATTTGGGTTGCTGGGTCAACCCAAACCCGACCCGATTTTTAAAATGGGTTGATTTGTTGAACCCGAACCCGACTCGTTTCAGGTCCGGGTTGACCCTAACCCGGATTTTTCTGGGTCGGGTTCGAGTCGTGTTTCGGGTCCTGTCAAAAATTGACACCATTTAGATACAAGTTGATGTTGACTGTGGCATGAAGAACTGAATTATAGATTTAGAATCAACCAAAAGAGATAAATAGATGTGATGAGAAAGATAAAGAAAGAACAATTTTCATATTATGCATATGATTGTAAAACAATTACAAACTTTATCAATTTATAGGAGGACTTGACATGCAATAAAATAACATAAGGAAATAAACCTAGGGAGAGTAATCTAAAGTGCAATTAAAATGTTAAGCTAAGGATCTTTCATAATGAGAAGTCTTTTTAAAATGTTCCTTTAAATGAAAGCAACACCAAATCACTTTTTTATTTTGTAAATAACCTTACTTAGATAGTTGCTGATATGTCCAAATACTGTGACAAGTTCAAATATGACATGTAATGCCATGTCACATAACTATCCTAAATCAACAAGACTCAGTCATTAGTTTTTGTGAGGAAATCTAGAAAAACAGCTTTTTAATACCCCAAAGTCATTTTGAAAAGGATTGGCGCTTAAAGTTCCATCTTCAAGAGTCTTTTTACTACTTCAACAAAATTTATTAACATGTTTGATGGAGAAATATAGATAAAATAAGGAGGATCTACATATGATATTTATTGATTTAGAAAAAGCATATGATAAAGTTCCAAGAGAAGTGCTATGGAGAGTTCTTGAAAAGAAAGAAGTTAATAATGCTTATATTCAAATCATTAAAGATATGTATGCAGGAGCTATTACTTGTGTTCAAACAGAAGGTGGTTTGACCAAGTATTTCCCTATTTCAGTTGGGTTACATCAAGGATCAGCCTTAAGCCCGTATCTTTTTGCTTTAGTCATGGATGTTCTCACTAGACATTTGCAAGAGGATGTACCTTGATGTATGCTTTTTGCTGATGATATTCTTCTTGTTGATAAGACTAGAGAGGGAGTTGAAAGTAAACTTGAATTATGGAGGTCAACATTAGAGACTAAAGGTTTTCGCTTGAGTAGATCTAAAACGGAATATATGGAGTGTAATTTTAGTAGTAATAGACCTAGTGAGGGGATTGTGACTTTGGGCGATCAAGTCATTAATAAGAGTACACGTTTTAGATATCTTGGATCTATTGTTCAGAGTGATGGTGAAATTGATGGGGATATTATCAATAGAATTCAAGTTGGATGGTTGAAGTGGAGGAATGCTTCGAGCTTGTTGTGTGATAGAAAAGTATCCCTCAAACTTAAGGGAAAATTCTATAAGTTGGTAGTGAGCCCTGAGATGCTTTATGGTGCTGAATGTTGGCCATTAAAAGAGAAACATAATACTAAGTTAAGTGTGGCAGAGATGAGGATGCTCAGGTGGATGAGTGGCTTTACCCTTAGAGATAGGATAAGAAATGAGCATATACGTGAAAAGGTTGGAGTAGCTCCAGTAGAAGATAAGATTAGAGAGAGTTGTCTTAGATGATTTGGTCACATAAAACGGCGGCCTTCCAATGACCCTGTTAGGAGAGTAGAGGTATTAGATTTGACTTATGTGAAGAAAGATAGTGGCAGATCTAAAAAGACTTGGTTAGAAAATATTAGGAATGACCTTTCTTTATTAGATTTAAACGAGAATTTGACCTTTAATAGGACAATGGAGAAAAAGGATTCATGTAGCCGACCCCACATAGTGGGATAAAGGCTTGATGTTGTTGTTTCTTTTGTTTTAGTTCATACTATTTAGCTCAAAGAAAGTTCGTCATCAAGTCAACTATTCGTTTAGTAACTGCTAAGTTACTACTGGATTGTAAATGTTTACCTTCTTTTTTACATCACAACATTGATTTATGGCTGGATCCTATGAAGTACAAGACTGGAATTTTGTAAACAAATTCATTAATTTATTTTCTAGTAGGTTCTCTAAACATGATAATGCAAACAATACAAATATTTTGCAGTTCTCATTAATGAGAATGATGTACTTATAGAGATGCTACCATCTTAGTGGTGAACACATATGTTTTAGGCAACATACTACCCAAGAATCCAATGCATTCCCAACCTAAGTTTGAAAAGGTGGGCATGTTGGTGCTTTGTAAGAAAGCCTCCACCTGATGTCTCAGATAAGGCCTATAATACACAGACACGAACATGGCAACATAGACACAACACGACACGGACACAAGACACGTCAATTATTAAAAAATATAGGACACAGACAATAGTTGAACATGATATTATAATTTTTATTTATTAAAAATAGTGTATAAAAGTTGAACTAGTAAAATATTTAAAATAATATTGAAATAAAAATAATTTAACTAGGATTTATGCTTAAAATAATTAAAATCAGGATGTCAAAAGTCGGGTGTCGATGTCGTGTTAGGCATCGAGATGGGAGATGACAATGATCTTCAATCAGGCATTGATGTCAAGACGACATCGGTTGTTGATCTCTAGATGATGTCGATCTTTGATCTCGAAATGACGTTAGTTGTCGATGTTAAGATGACATTGGACAAAGTTGAGATTTTCATATGACAAAACTGGCGTGATTATGGGTGTAGAAATTGCTAGCATCGAGTGTTAATGTTAACAGATCGTTAGTCTTTGATTTTGAGATGGTTTTAAAATACTGATGTTATGACAACATTGGATGTCGATATTAAAATGACTTCAAGGGTTTTTGTGAAACCTTTCATGCAATCTACCAGAGAGAAATGAAAAAGAGAATGCTCAGGGAATGAAGTATTGAGTGCGGGCAATTGATTTAGGACTTTGGAGAGGAAATAAGAAATTTATTTTTTTATTTTTCTACTAGATAAAAATTTGAGATACAATAAATAATATTTTTAAAAAATTTCATAAAATATTTTAGACTTGCATGTCAAATTTATTTTTTATATTTTTTAAAATCGGATACATCTTTTACATGTGTCAGAGGCGTGTCGAACGCATGTCGTATCCGATACATATCAAACACTGTATCTCTTTGAGAGGAAGTATCGGTGTATCACAGAATGAGAGGCTATTTTAAATCTTACGCAGTTATGAAGAAATACATCTATTTTTGTATTATTTTTTTCCTTTCATTATTGTGTCATGTTTTACGCAATTTATGTTGATGTATCATGATTATACTCCATTATCTTAATCACTATCCTTTGAGATTTGTTTTTTAAGGTTTGAGAATTATTTTTTGTTATAATCATAGACTGCAACATTCCCCTGGTCATATTGCTCTTGATCCTCTTTTAAATTTGATTTTGTTTATTTTTCATCCATACTTTTCATAAACATTGTTTGATTTGTATTGTATATGGTATTTATAATAGTTGTGCTATACTGTATTATATATACTATTATTGATAATGTTATATACTCTATTGTCGTTTTCACATTAGGTACCATATTTTGTTAACTCATGAATATGCAATATTTTGATACTTTTCCTTAAGTTATTCTTTAAATAATCATTATTGAAAAATTCTTCATCATTGTTTACTCTTATCAGTTTTTTTATTTTACTGCTAGGAATTCATCTTCTTATAAACTTTTGTGATATATTTATTTTTTTTCGAATGTTTAAGTGCAAATGTTTAATGCTATAAACGAATATATTATTACGATTTGATCAATAATTTGAAATGGCTGCTGACCTTGACCAAATATTTACTGCAATAATTCATTTTAAGTTAGTGCTCATTAAACCAATGATATCCCGATATAAGCAAATCTGGAAATAGTGCATCTATTTGACCATATTTCAGAAACACTTTTAGATGGAGAAAAATTGGGTCAGGATATCCCGACCAAAATTTATACTTGGATGGCTTTTTAAAATCTTTAGATTTGCTTTTGAGATGGTGACGTACATGAATAATCAATCAACTTAGGTCTTTTAATTATTTCAAAATAAATCCAATGATTATAAAATCCTTTTTGACTAAATTTTGGTCAGGAAATCCTCACTCAATTTTTTTCCTAAATTTTTTTTTTTAATATATATATTTATACTTTGCACCATACACTGGCGTTCAACCACGTTAAAACCATGCTGGCATTTTATTCATGAAGTTTCATCTGATACTTTCATGTTAAGATTTTCTGGTGAGAGTTCTACTAAGTGTTTACGCATTGCTTTTTTGAGTATTTTTCTTATGCTTTATTTTTTTCATTCATTAATCCCTTCACCGGTTCCATAATAAAAGAGCCATCCACTTGGTACAGCTTTTATTATTAAAAAAAATTAAAATGTTTGTCCTTGAGGTGAAAAATAACGTCATTAAAAAAATAAATATTGGAACTTTTTGTACTTTGCTTGACCTTCCAGTTTTTTTTTTCCTTGAAATTATTTACCTTTTCTCTTGAAATGGGATTTACCTGACTTCCAAACTCTTCATTATGTTGATGCAGGGTGCACCAGATGGACCAACAAATCATGAAGCATACTTGCTGTTTCCAGTTCATCTGGATGGAACTTTGTTGGACAATACCAAAATTATGCAGGCAAACAAGGAGTTCTTTCCTGCAATCACTGTTCTGCAACTATTCAAACAAGTAAGTGCACGTGGAAATTAGTCTCTTGTTGAATTTAAGAATTGGTAAACAATTTTTTGGAGTAGATGTTATTGAGTGGCAGTGTTATAGCATTTCCCAATAGTGGCATGCTATGACCTAATCTGATTGTGGTGATAAGTAGAAAAGAGTGAGCTAGAATGTGCCCCTTAAGTGTCATTTTAACCCGATTAGTGAAAAGAAAGCAAAGATGAGCTGGGGTGTCACTTTTAAGTCGTGCTTCGTTAGTTAATAAAATTGTGATGATAAATAAAAAATGATTGGCTGGGTCTAAATCTAATATTATATTTTTTTGCCCCATAGAATTTGGGAACTTCAAATGGGAAGACAACAGAATTGATGGATATTATAATAAGAAGAAGAATTAACATCTTTTAAAGGCGAATGGAAAGGAAAGCATCTAAGAATATTGAGGAAGGTTAGAAGTTGCTGTGTTAGAATGTTTGCTAACAGATATGAGACTTAGGCAGTGGTAGATAAAGAGTTGGAAGATAAAATTATTGAGTTTAATATGGTTAGCGATAGAATGATTAATATTAAGATAATTATCAGTGATGAAATCATGAATGTAGCCAATGTTTATGCTCCTCAAGGAGGATTGGAAGATGGTTTTAAAAAATAAATTTTGGAGAGAAATGAATGAAACTACTACAATGTATGATTGCTGAAGAAAAGATAGTTGGTGGAGGTGATTTTGTTGAATAAAAAAAAATCCGACTGCATCTCACCATCCCATGATGCTTTGTATATGAACCACGTCACACACCTTTCGGCCTTTCCCGTCCCCCCCGCCCCTTCGGGCCTTTTCTTCCCTATCTCACACATGATCCCTCCCGCCCCCCCCCCCATCCCATGCGCGCCCTCATTCTCTCCCATAGCCTCATCTCTCTCATTCTTCCTCTCTCGATCTCACTCTCAAGCCCCCCTCATTATCTTCTCCAACACAGCAGCCCAAGTCTTTCGTCCTAGACATCCTGTTGTCATTACGCGATCTGCTGCCTTAGCTGCCACTGTGCACTCTCCATTGCCTGCAGTCGTTGGTGCCACCTCCTAACCCAGTTACCGACCTCTCTCACTTTCCCTCTTTTTTTCTCACTTTCTCTCATCTCCCTTCTTTCTTTCTCTCTATCTTTCCATGCCACTGTCTACCTCTAACTCTCAGTCTCTCTATATTTCCCTCTTTGTCTCACTCTCTTTTTCTCGCTTCTCTCTTACTCCCTCTCTCTTTCTCTCCATCACTCTTTCTCTTTCTATCTCTTTTTCTCCTATCTCTCTCTCTTTAAAAAAATGGAAAAAGAGAAGCAAAAATGGAAGGAAAATGATAGAAAATACTTGAGTTCACAAGTAACCCTAAGGGAATACTTGAGTTCGCAAGCAAACCTATCACTAATTGGAAGAAAACAGCGAGAAGATAGAAAAATCTGGACAAAATCAGCCCTTAAACAGTAGATTGCAATCAACGAAACAAAGCATAACGCACACGAAAGCAAGATACAAGTGATCCCCAATTCGAGAGGAGGATCGTCTCTCCCAAATCTCTAGACAAGATAGTCTAGAGCCAAGCACCACGAAACCCTAATTCTCTATTAATCAAAACATGCCTATCCCTAATTCCCTCATCCCCTTTAATACAATATCTTTCCTATTTCAATTTCCCTCCCAAACCCTCTTCTACCCACTCAGTTTGAAATTTCACTTGATTGGAGTAGTGGAGCCCGCCCCCTTGAGCGGACCAGATAGAGGAGGCAGAAGTTTTCGCCTCCTATAGACCAGCGGCCCTTGGACCGGTTGGTTCTGGACCGGTTCCAAGTGAACCGGTCTAACAATACCGCCCTCCCAAAGAATCACCTTGTCCTCAAGGTGAAAATCAGGAAACTGATGTTTCTTCCTCTCGTATAGTTCCCACGTGGCCTCGTAATTCGGGAGATTCTTTCACTTGATCAACACTTCCTTAGTTCCCTCTTCATTCTAGCGGACCCCCTCCAGCTTCGAGGGTTCCAGAATCACCTCTACATCCTCAGTAAGTGTCGCTGGTAGCTCGGGGTTCGCTGTGTAGTCACTAATGGCCTTCCTCAACAGCGAGACATGAAAAATTGGATGTATAGTCGCCGAGGGTGGTAATTTCAGTCGATATGCTACTGCTCCAATCTTCTCCAGCACTTCATAAGTCCCAAAATACCTTGGAGCCAGCTTTTCATTCCTCCTATTGGCGACTGGCTTCTGTCGATTCGGTCGGAACTTCAAGAATACCCTCTCCCCTATTTCAAATTGGATGTCCTTCCTATGCACATCCGTTTATTTCTTCATAATTTGCTGAGCTCTTAGTAAATGCCTCTTCAACTCCTCTAGCACTCGATCCCTCTCCTCCAAGTACTCTGCTGACGAAACGGGGGTTCTGCTACTCCCAAAGTACATCAAGTGTGGAGGATCCCGTCCGTACAACACCTTGAATGGGATCATCTGTGAAGCAGAATGAAAGGACGTGTTGTACCAGCACTCAACCCAAGATAGCCACTTAGCCCCCATAGCTTTGGTGTCACTGACACAAAGCATCTCAGGTACGTCTTCAAGCTCCTGTTGACTACTTCTGTTTGGCCATTCGTCTATGGGTGATAAGTTGTGCTCCTCTTGAGAATTGTCCCCTGTAACCTAAATAATTCCCTCCAGAAATGGCTGAGGAACACCTTATACCTATCTGATACGATCGCCTCTAGTACTCCGTGTAACCTGACCACCTCCCTGATGAAGGCTGACTCTACGGTCACTGCGATGTAGGGGTGTCGAAGGGGAATGAAATATGCATACTTGCTCAACCTGTCCACCACCACTAAGATCACTGTGAACCCCTCTGAGTGGGGCAACCCATCTATGAAGTCCATAGATATCTCTTCCCACACTCTTCCCGATAGAGCTAACGGGTGTAGTAATTCTCCTAGTGACATGGCCATGTACTTATTCCTTTGGCAGATCTCACATCTGGCGACCATCTCCTCTACATCTTTATGCATCCCCTTCCAATATAGCTCCGTTGCTAGCCTCCTGTATGTCTTCTGGACTCCAGAATGACCCCCCACAGTGCTTCCGTGAAACTCCTAGAGTAAGTTTGGGATGTGGATCGAGGTCTGGGGCATCACAAATCTCCCTGATATAGCAGTTTGTCTTCCTTAGTTCCCTCTTCATTCTGGCGGACCCCCTCCAGCTTCGAGGGTTCCAGAATCACCTCTACATCCTTAGTAAGTGTCGCTGGTAGCTCGGGGTTGGCTGTGTAGTCACCAATGGCCTTCCTCAACTGCGAGACATGAAAAATCGGATGTATAGTCGCCGAGGGTGGTAATTTCAGTCGATATGCTACTGCCCCAATCTTCTCCAGCACTTCATAAGTCCCAAAATACCTTGGAGCCAGCTTTTCATTCCTCCTATTGGCGACTGTCTTCTGTCGATACGGTCGGAGCTTCAAGAATACCCTCTCCCCTATTTCAAATTGTATGTCCTTCCTATGTCCATCTGTTTGTTTCTTCATAATTTGCTGAGCTCTCAGCAAATGCCTCTTCAACTCCTCTAGCACTCGATCCCTCTCCTCCAAGTACTCTGCTGACGAAACAGGGGTACTGCTACTCCTAAAGTACATCAAGTGTGGAGGATCCCGTCCGTACAACACCTTGAATGGGGTCATTTGTGAAGCAGAATGAAAGGACGTGTTGTACCAGTACTCAACCCAAGATAGCCACTTAGCCCCCATAGCTTTGGTGTCTCTGACACAGCATCTCAGGTACGTCTTCAAGCTCCTGTTGACTACTTCCGTCTGGCCATTCGTTTGTGGGTGGTAAGCTGTGCTCCTCTTGAGAATTGTCCCCTGTAACTTGAATAACTCCCTCCAGAAATGGCTGAGGAACACCTTATCCCTATCTGATACGATCGCCTCCGGTACTCCGTGTAACCTGACCACCTCCCTGATGAAGGTTGACGCTACGGTCACTGCGATGTAGGGGTGTCGAAGGGGAATGAAATGTGCATACTTGCTCAACCTGCCCACCACCACTAAGATCACTGTGAACCCCTCTGAGCGGGGCAACCCATCTATGAAGTCCATAGATATCTCTTCCCACACTCTTCCTGATAGAGCTAACGGCTGTAGTAATTCTCCTAGTGACATGGCCATGTACTTATTCCTTTGGCAGATCTCACATCTGGCGACCATCTCCTCTACATCTTTATGCATCCCCTTCCAATATAGCTCCGTTGCTAGCCTCCTGTATGTCTTCTGGACTCCAGAATGACCCCCCACAGTGCTTCCGTGAAACTCCTAGAGTAAGTTTGGGATGTGGATCGAGGTCTGGGGCATCACAAATCTCCCTGATATAGCAGTTTGTCTCCCTCCATTGAGTACCCTGGGTGGTTACCATCTTCTTTCAGCAAATCTGACCTATTCTTTCCCAAGCTTTCATCTCTAGCACTTTCCTCCCTGATGGCCTCCCAGTCAAGCATCAGAGGAACAGAGAGTGCCACGGCCTGCAGCTCCCCCATAAATCTGGACAAGGCATCTGCCGCCTTGTTCTCCACTCCTGGCCTATACTGAATCTCAAAGTCGTACCCGAGCAACTTGGACAGCCACCTTTGATGCTCTGTCACCATTCATTGTTCTAACAGATATTTCAAGCTCCGCTAATCTGTCCTGACAATGAAATGTCTCCCTAGTAAGTAGGGTCGCCACTTATGGATGGCCAAAATGATGATCATTAATTCTCTCTCATAGACTGGCTTCAGTCTGGCTCTAGCAGTCAAAACCTGGCTGAAATAGGTAATGGGCCTACGATTCTGCATAAACACTGCCCCAAGCCCGTATCTAGACACATTCGTCTCTACAATGAAGGTCTGAGTGAAATCTGGCAAGGCTAGGACCGGTACCGTAGTCATCGCCTTCTTCAGGCTCTCAAATCCTGTTGTGGCCGCCTCCCATAGGAATCTGTCATTTTTCAACTGCTTAGTGAGTGGCCACGCTATGGTGCTGTACCCCTTAACGAACCTTTTGTAGTAACCTATCAGTCCTAAAAATCTCCTCAGCTCCAGATTCTTTGGCACTGGCCACCTTAGCATTGCCTCAATTTTATACTGATTTGCTGCCACCCCCTCTTTTGACACAACATGGCCTAAGTACTCAACACTGACTTGTGCGAAACAACATTTCTTCAAGTTGGCCCTCAGCTGGTGCTCCTGCAGTACCTCTAGCACCTGTTTCAAATGCTCACAGTGCTCCTCCTCTGTTCTGTTATAGACCATGATGTCGTCAAAGAATACCAGTACAAACCGTCTGAGATAAGGTTTGAAAACCTTATTCATAAGGGTTTGGAACATAGCAGGAGCATTGGTGAAGCCAAAAGGCATGACCAAGAACTCATAATGTCTCTCATGAGTTCTAAAGGCCATCTTGGGAACATCCCCTTTCTTCATCTGAATCTGATGGTAACCTGATTTCAAGTCTATCTTGTTGAAGATCATTGTTTCACTCAATTCATCTAGCAACTCATCAATAAATGGTATGGGAAAATTATCAGGTACAATATCCTTATTGAGTGCTCGATAGTCCACGAAAAATCGCCAACTGTCATCCTTCTTTTTCACCAATAGAACCATACTAGAGAAAGGACTGATGCTGGGTCTGATGATTTCTGCCTCCAGCATATCTCTAATCAATCTTTCTATTTCATTCTTCTGGAACTAAGGGTAGCGATAAGGCCGTACACTGATGAGCGACACTCCCTCCTTCAACATGATGGCATGCTCCTGCTCCCTCTGCGGTGGCAATCCCTGAGGTGGCTGAAACACCTCTTGAAACTGATCAGTCCTAAAAACACCTCTGCGGTGGCAATCCAGGATCTTTCTATCAGGTTTGATCAACTACCTCCTCTGATTAAGTAGACTAGGGATCATGATGGTCCGGGACGACGAAACCATGGGATTGATGGAGTCCATCATCCATTCCCACACCATCTACTTTAAGTGCAAGATGGTGAAATTTTAAATTTTAAATATCAAACCTCTCAATCATCCTAAGCTCATTGCTGCTACTATACGCCTGATACTACGTATCTGATTGATGATTAGCCTTAATTGAAAGTTCTCTCTCATGATTGGGAGGGGTAATTAACTATAGGGGTTTGCGCCTATAGGAAACCAGAACTCAGATCATAAGTCCTGGCAAAATGAGGGCGAAATCTATGGGTAGTGTCTTATCTACAAACCTATCTGTCTTCTCAAAATTTACCCTGGAACTTATTCCGTTAAAACTCCCCCGAAAAGAAAAGCACAGCGGGCGGAGGCCCAGGCCAAATTTTCGAAGCCCACAGTATGAACAATGAAATATGCTGCATGCATGAATTTTTTTTTTTACTTTTTCTGGCTTTTGTGGAAAATATTATTGTTCTTTCTACATAATAGATTAGGTTTCAGCATCTAGCCATCATTGTAAATTTCATGATAATCAAAAGCAACGTAGCAGAAGATTGGTTCTTATTGGCGCCAATAAATAATTGAAGTTGTTGAGCAACTTTCCTCTTGTATTTCTATTATTGTCAAATATGATTTGAAACGTTGCCTATTGAGAACGCAATTTGTCTACCAGCTCTGTGCAGGATTGAAGCATATGCACAATTTTGATCCTCCATATGCTCATAATGATGTTAAGCCCGGAAATGTTCTCATAACTCAAAGGAAGGGGCAACCTCCCCTTGCAATTTTAATGGATTTTGGAAGTGCGCAGCCTGCTAGAAAGCAAATTTGTTCACGTTCTGAGGCGTTGCAGTTGCAGGTACTTTTGCTGTTCTTTATTAAATCTGCATTTAGTCCAATTCACATATGATGCTTTATCTAGATGGAACCTTTAATTGTCCTGAATTTGAATGGTGCTTGATTCGTGAAACATTGTTTACTTATAATCTGGTAGCTGCTTTGATTTTTGTTCCCTTATAGTTTTTCTTTTAATGTGTTTGCTTATACTTTCCTGAAGATAACTTAGAGGATGTTCATTTATGACACTGATTGTTTTGAAAGTAAGTTGAGCACTCCCATCTCCCAAGATTTTCGAGAATAAGGTGGAGTAGCTTTCCTTCAAGGCACTGGAATTCAATTGTTATGTCAAAATTGAGAATACAAGTGCCAAAATCCTTTTGCCTCCATGTAAAATAGTTTGAATAAATGGGTTTGTTTTCAATGATTGGCCATAAATTTTTGTGTTAATATCACAGTTGCTGAATTTTTAGTATTACACTTTCTTTATGTTGAAATAAAATGCTTTTTGGACATATTACCTTTGAAATATTTCAACCGTCTTCTCCTAGTGTCAAATATTTTTCTTGCTACTGTTAGATTTCTAGCCTTTGAAGATATAGGATTTCTAAGAGAACCATGTTTGATCATGCATGGTTTTTTTAGTCTGGGAAAGATTATAGAGATTGTTCATGTAGGATTATTTTCTCCGAGAATAGAAAATCTTGATTAGCTGCAGATGTTAGAAAATGAGCCTGCATGGAAGACTTTGGGGTTGTGCACGTGTTAATCTAAATTTTTTGTGTATCTTTTTTTGCAATCAAGATGAATTTCTGCCAGTTTCAAACTTGAAATCATTACTATGAAGTTCTATGATGCACCGACACTTATCCCTAAAGAGGCGTGCAGTGTCCAACACGAATCCGACACGACACACGTCCGACACTCCTCCGACCGACACTCCGACAAGTGTCGGACATCCCGAAAACGTGTCCGATTAAAAAATATATTAAATATAAATTGGACACGTGTGTCCGACACGCGCATCTTAAATATTTTATGATTTTTTTTTAAGTATAACTTCTTATATTTAAAATATAAAATCTAAATTTCTTATTTCCTATCCACAACATCAAATCAATCACCCGCACTTAATACCTCATTCATCAAATATTCTCATTTTCATTTCTCATTGGCGGGTTACAACTTTGATTTTACAATAATGTCCGATGTCATCTCAACATTGATGTCTGACATCAACATTTCAAAACGATCTCCATATTGAAGTCTGACGCTATCTTTACATTGATGCTTAATGCTAGCAATTTCTACACCCACAACTTGACATCTCATCTTTATCCAATGCCTTCTCAACATCGATGACCAACGCCCTCTCAACATCGACGATAAATGCCCTCTTAACATTGACGCTAATATTTACTGCATAACATCAATGCTCGACTCTCGACAACATTATTATCTCCTCTCTTGTTGACGGTAAACGACGCCCAACTCTCAACATCTTAATATTAATCATTTTAAGCACAATTCTAGTTAAATGACTTATTATTTCTAAATTATTTGTAACATTATATTTATTTAATTTTTATACATTATTTTTAAAATATAAAAACTATAATACCGTGTCCAACCTGTTTTTGTGTCTTATATTTTCAATAATTAATGTGTCTGTGTCTGTGTCGAGTCGCATCATAGATGAAGTTAAATGATATCTTCAATCGTTTCTAACATTTATGTCTGAACTTATGAAAATGTTTCAAGATAGACTGTATGCTCTGATACAAATATTTTGAACATCTTATTCATTATATATTTCCTTAAAATATTTCAACTTTCTCTGAAGAACTTACGTGTGTGCGATAGATAACACCATTTAAATAATATGTGTTTCTATAGCTCTATATCTTTATAAAATTATAAATTTTAAGTGCAATGTTTAGAATCAATTGTTAAAACATTATCAAAAAATTATTTGTGATTTACCACGTGTTAGGTGGCAGTGATGGTTGGAAAGTACAATTAGTGATAATGTTAGTATTCTAAACCTGTAGCAAAGCGGATTTTGGACCTGCTTCTTTTTATTATTATTATTATTTTGCTATCACTGATTTTTTCTAAGTGCAAGGAGACCCTCTATTGATTTTGCATTTTATATTTGCATCAATTGAGTTACTTCTGAGTAAAGTTTTGATAATTTATCTCTAAGAGGATGGACATTCCTGTTAATTTATTTCTCAAAGATTTATGTTTTAAAAATTATTTATTAATATATTTAATGATTTTCAAATGTTCTTGGTGAAAAAATTATAGAGATTTTATGATAGTTACTTATATGGATGCCCGATATTTCCTTTCTTTATATTTGGTACCTCTGATTTTCTATAATTCATAAAATTAATATGAGATGTAAGTAAACGTTAAACCAAAGTTACAAGAAATAAAATTAATGTTGGTATTTAAAAATGTTCATTATATGGAATAAATAAGGTAATTTATGGAGGTTTAATGCACCATCAAATTAATGGATTGGCTTGGCAAGTGTTACCTCGAGCATTCGACTTGCTCTGTCAGTGTTAAAGCAGGTAAAGGAATAAGATGGAAATGTTTACTACTTAGCTTTGTTTTCCCTTCATTCGATAGATTGTTTTGAAAGAAATTCTCACGTGCATCCCACGTCCCTCTTGTATCTTGTTATAATTACATGCATCCTAACATATTCATATCTTACATTTCCTTAACTTGTTGACCTTACATGGTATCATTTGTTGTAGCGTCCGTATTGTTTAATAAAGTACGTAGAACTGCACAAAATATAATGCCTGATTTAGGCCTCGGATGGCTTTCTTACTGCTTCTTAAAGCAGCTTACTAGATAAAAAATTTAATTTTTTAACTAAAAAGCTGTTTTAAGAAGCAATAAAAAAGCCATCCCAAATGAAGCCTTAGTCTTGCGCTTTGCATCATTATATTTCTGTTTAGCTTAAAACTCTTGCAATGCCTTTGTATAATCGTTGGAAAAGAAAGAATTGTTATTAATTATTCTGTTCTTAGTTCTATGCTTAGTCTGTTGCTCTTTAACCCATCTTAAGTAGGAATGGGCGGCTGAGCATTGTTCTGCACCTTATCGTGCTCCTGAATTGTGGGATTGTCCGAGCCAAGCTTATATTGATGAGAGAACAGATGTTTGGTCTCTAGGATGTACTCTATATGCAATCATGTAAGTGCTCTTGTATGAACCTTTTCACTCAGTATTATAAACTATTAAATTTTTTTTTTTTTTTTTGCATCTATTTTTTATTGGCAACTAAGTTTGCATATATTTTTTGTTGGCAAGGTAGAAATTGCTGCTATAAATTATTGAACTCCAGCTGATGGTCTTTATCACAGCGTCAGTAGTTCCGAGTACTTTTGAAGACAAAGAACTTTATAAGTTTTTTCTTATCTGGAAGGGTTTATGGTTATACTTAAGCGGTCATTGCTAGTGGCTCTCATTTCAATGGAGATATATTTTCAGCTGCACTTTAAACTGAATAAAATTTGATAAAGTGATTGTTTGTATAAATTATGTTCGCGTAAACTTACCCTCATGTATTTGTTCTCTGGCTCTTACATTATATAGGATGATAGTTCTATTTAAAACAATGTGCATCATTTTCTTGACTAGAAATTTGGTACTCTCCCTAGGGAGAGAATTCAAAGTTCTCCGACGCAGATTATTTTGAATTAAATGTCTTTTTAACTAGGAAATTAAGGTTTCGTTTGGGACACCTTTCTTTCTGTTTTTTAAACCAGCTTTTTAGTATAAAAATTTTAATTTTTTTACTAGAAAGCTACGTGTTAGAATGTGAATGCCCAAATGGAAATGCTCAACTCATTCTTTCAATGTGAATTCATCCATTAATGAGCATTTCAAACTGTTTCTTAACATGCCAACTTCCTCTCTCTATAAACAACTCTTTCTGTTTAGTTCCCAGCTCTCTGAAGATCCCGCTTTCTTCAGTATCCAAATGCAAAAAAAAAAAAAAAAAAATCTAGAGTAAATTGTCTCAAGTAAAAGACATATTTATCAAGTGCATCTCACTTTTAGTTTTATTGCTTTAATTAATAGTTAGATATTTTCCATTACAGTAAAGATATCAAAATTTTAAGGCAGCATCCCTCTGGGATTCATGATTCACCACCACCAAAACCATATTTATTGCTATTTTATTTCTGCAACTAATTCTCATTCAACTGAAACCTGCAAGTATCCACACATCAGCTCATCATTTTGATTTGATTTCATTTCATTTCCTTTCAAGGTATGGAGAATCTCCTTTTGAGTATGCTACTGCTGATGAAGCTGAAGGAAGCTTACAGTCGGCCATTATGAATGCCCAGATCAAATGGCCAACAAGTTCTATCTCCTCCTATCCAGATCAATTCCATCAGTTTATTGTGTGGATGCTGCAGCCTCAGCCTGCAGTCCGGCCTCATATCAATGACATTTTCTTTCATGTCGACAAGCTCATTACAAAGTTTTCCTCCTGAGCCTACAGAGAAAGTAGCATTCCATCCATGTCGGTTTGTTAAAAAAGCTTCTTTTTTTTTTCTTTTTGTTTGTCAATCTTTAGACAAGTTTGTTTAAAATCTTATTCTCCTTTGTCTAGAAACATCAAGGCTTCATTTGGGATGGCTTTCTTACTGCTTCTTAAAATATCATTTAGTACTGTTTTTTTCCAAAAAAACTGCTTTACAAGTAATAAGAAAGCTATCTCAAACGAAATCTAAATTATATCTACCCACTCTCTGAGTGAGGGGAAGCTACACCTAAGTGAACTTCATATTAATTTCTTCATTTCATTTGCCTTTGCATTATTATTGTATTATTTCATTTGGGACGGCTTTCTTATTAATTCTTAAACCAATTTTTTAGCACAAAAATTTTTTAACCTAAATTTTTTTGTGCTAAAAAATTACTTAAAAAAGTAATAAGAAAGCTATCACAAACAAAGCTTAATACTAAATGAGATGAAAGCAGAGATGATTTCATGAAATTATTATGGTAGATATGACAACAATTTAGACAATTTCTTTCATTTATTCCCTTCGAATAACGGCAAATTATTGCATCCAGTCACCGGACGCTCAGAATAGGTTTGAATATCCAATAAAAACATGCCACATCACCTGCACTTTTGACTGCGCTTTAGATGCGTTTAGCATGCGCTTTGACTGCACTTAACTTGCGCTTTTGACTGCGCTTTGACTGTACTTAACCTGCATTTTTGACACGCTTAATTTAAAATAATATTTTATTAATATCTGAATCTATCTACGCGTCTTGTCACCGGATGCAATAATTTGCCTCGAATAGCAGACGCTTATCTTCACCGAGCTCCTGGTTTCTGGAGAGCGAAAGGCTTCTTTCTACAAAGTTAGAAAGCAGCTCCCGTGGGTTGGGCTTGTCGGGTTGTAGGTTAAGTCTTACGGGTCACGTGGAGAAGTTTCGCTTTCGCGACGTGAGAGACTGGTGACCGGGACTTAAAAGGTCAAGTTGGGTGGGCTCCAGCCTCCACCAATAACTTGTGGCCTGGATTCGTTTAACCTATTCGTAGGGCCCACATTCCCTCCACATAAGCATATCGTTTCGGGCTACGTGTCTGTTTGTACGCTGCTTGCAATTTTATGGCCCTGATTCAAAGTTATCAATTAAATGATCAGATCAGACAATTTGATTTCAATCTTATTAAAAAAATATAAATTTGAATCGACTCAAAAATATTATTAGTAGGATTCAAGTTTGGATGTAGGGGTATCAATATTTGACACAACTTGAAAATTCCATTAGAAAATTTAAGGTTATAGTTAACTTGGACCTGAAATGGGTCGGGTTTGAGTTCAACAAGTTGACCTGTTTCAAAACCCAATTCGGGTTGACCCATAAACTTGAAATTGACTTGTTTTTTACTCTAAAACTCAAGATTTGACCCATTTTTGTGGGCCCCAGGTTATTCGGCATGTGTCCGGTTGACTCGGGCCTCAAGTGGGTCGGGTTTGGGTCCAAAAAAATTGATTCGTTTGTAAAAATGGGTTGGGTTTGGTTTGACCTTAATAATGCTGGGTTAATTTCGGGTTTGACTTGAACTCATCTTGTGACCCCAAATTGACACCCCTTGTTGGATAATTGAAGTTGAGGAAGGCAATCGGTATATTGTGTGATAGAAAAGTACCTATCAAATTTAGGGGAAATTTTTATATTGGCCATTAAAAGAGAAGTATAAAATTAAGCTAAGCGTTTTAGAGATGAGGATGCTCAAGTGATGTCGGGCAGATTTAGTCGGTCTAAATCAAAGGAACCTTGGGGGTAGCTTTGCTCTCTCAATAAGTAAAGAGCTATCTCCTCACTTGTATTCAATTTTTGGAGATTGAATGTAATATTTATTTTCCCAAGTTCCTTTCCTATATCCTGCCCAATCCAGGAGGTGGCTCTCCTCTTCTCCAACCTGAGATTGGTTGGATTATATTAGAAATCTTGACTTGATTAAATTTTATGTCAGATTCAAATTGACTCAAAAAAATTAAAATTGATCCAATAATTACTTGGTTTAGATTAATAGGCTGGGTTTGAGTTAAACAATTATTTCTTGGCTTAAATGGTTTGTATTTGGGTTAAATTGGTTGTGATAACCTAAAAATTATTGGATATTTATGATAAAAATGTCTGGTTTGAATTAACTGGGTTCGAGTTGAGCCAGATTTAAGTTGAACATTTTGGTCATATGATAAAGGATAATGTTACCTTCAAGTATTTTGGGCCAGATCAATTTTGTGATAAATTCAAACTCGATTTGCTAACCCTAATTGATACCCTAGTTCAAGTGAAAATTTGACTTCTAAAGCTTTGTATAATTATTATTTAATTTTTGAAATTACTTATTCAAAAGTAAAATTTAAAACATAGTGAGCCATGTCTTATTGACTAATTTGTTTGCTATTTTAAATTTGAGACATGAAATATGAATATCTACATAATTTATATGACCGGTTATTCGAGTTTAAATTAGCATAGTCAAATTGTCTTGATAATGCTTTAAAAAGAAAATTGAGATTGAAATTATATTTCTCATAAAAGATATATTATCTTATTTTTAAAGTCTAAATTGTGAATTTAAAAAAACATTATGCTTATTATAAATAAAATTTATATTAATGCAAAGTAAAAACAATAAATCAATCTTAAATTGTTCCATACGTGATAAAATATTATTGTTGCACAAATTATTCATACAATTTATACTGATGTGAGAGGAAATACTATTTTTTCTTAAAAATCATGAGGACATGGAGTTATACACTAACAAGTGGTATAGGATTAGATGAGATAACTTCTACTAGTTGACAAGCAAATGTGACAGCCTTATTATATAGCACATGCAACATGAGAGAAAATTGAGATGGTCATCATATTGCTCTATTGATCATTAATTATTGGTAATTGTGTTTTCATCATACTAATTATTGATATTTATATTATTCATTATTTACTTGCTTTATATAACTATTTATATGAAATTACATATGAATTAATACTATTATGATTGGTGATTTATGCATACTATAGGTTTATTGAACTATTACTTTATTAATGGCATACCATGCATACATACATACATTGTATATTGATTTAACTATATATAATTTCTATTAAGTTAGAGGTTTAAAGTACTGATATGTAGTATAGGGTAGATGATATTACATGATAAAAATCAATAAGTTAATAAGATAAGGATGATTGTAAACAGAGGTGGAGTTCAGAATTTTTCTTAGTGAAGGTATAAATTCACCATTTTAAAAATCTCGTCAATATTTTTACTCGATATTTATAGTTCTAAACTCCAAAATTTTTGAAGGGACACAAATTAAATAATTTATTAAAAATTATATTTACACACACACACACACATATATATATATATATATTCCTTCATAAGAGGAAATCAATGACATTTATAAGGATTTTTTATCAATAAAATGGTCCAATATAGAATGTGATAAAAAAAATTCTCTTTATACGAGCATGAGCTAGATGGATCTCACTAAACCACACACATTTTCTTATCATAATTTTTTGTGCCTATTTTTTAGATCATTTTCTCGTGATTATCATTGACCTTTAACTACATTCTAATCATTTACGAGACAACTTTTTTATAAGTCAAAGCTCTAATGAAAGCTCTAAATTGCTTTTAATGCCTAAAGGCAATGCTCAGAGATGTTGCCTACTATTCTTGGATATGTTTGTGTGGTTATACATATGGAGGTTCATCTCCTAAGGTTTCTCAAGTCAACTTTAAAGGTTTCCATATCATACCCTTATAGTTTAGGTTTTCATGCAAGATTGAATAAGCTAAAGATGCCCCACAACTAAGATTTAATAGAGTTTTTTTTAAAAAAAAATATTTTATACATTAAAATTGTAGGTTTTGAACTTTCTAGTCGATCAAAAAATATAAGCTATGTTGAAATTGAATGTGCTATCTAATACAATTTTGATATATTTGAAAATCATTATATTTGAATAATTTTCAAAGTTGATCATTGGCCACTATCATTTTTGGGCTTTGCACTATATTCATTTTACTTTATGATAAAAAAAAAAACTAACATGCATTTATTTTAACCTATTTAAATAACTTCAAATATTGTAAATATATTATATTTCTTTTACAATATATTTTATTTTGCTCTGTATTCTTTTTGGACGAATCAAAATAAAAGAAATTTTAATATATTGTATTATATTTTGTATAAGAATATTCAGCCATAAATTTTTATTTTATTTTATTTTTGAAAGGGAACTGTGAAGAGAGCCAAACAAGCACAGTGGGTCCCACAAACCCCACCCCGTCCCCACCTACGCCAATAGCCAGCCACAAGATAAACCCCCAGCCTCCCACCGCTAACTTCACGCCGCGTGGCGCCACCCAGATTTTCTCCACAGTTATCAGCCTCCCCATTCCAGCTTCCCCTTCCCCAACCTCCAAACAATGCCGACGGAAAAAGTGGCCTCCGCCGCCACCACCCGGCACCCCACCCCTGCTACTTGGACGTCGTGGTGCGACTCATGCCATTCTATCCCATCCTCCGTCTACTGCCGCGCAGACGCCGCCTATCTCTGCACCAACTGCGACTCCTCCATCCACTCCGCCAACTCACTCGCTCGACGCCACCACCGCGTTCCACTCCTCCCCATCCCCGCCGGCGGCCTCATCGTCGGCGGAATTTCTGTGGCACTCCCAAAGGAAGAAGAAGACGAAGAAGATCCTGAAGAAGATCAAGATGGCTTCTTGATTGGAGGTGAGGTGGATGAGTATTTCGATCTAGTGGAGTTCAGTACTTCCTGTGAGGAAGAAGGAAAAGAAAAATATGACTGTAGGGAAGAAGAAGAGAAGCAGATGTTGCAGAGTAGTTTTAATGTGGGTGAAGGATTCAAAGGAGGGATAGATTACTCTGCTTTTCTTCCTCATACGGTTAGCTAATTTCTTCTTCTTCTTTTTCAGTTCGTTGACCATTTCTTTCTGTTAATTCTATCTTAATAGTACTATCATGATATGTTTGTTGTTCTTAATCTCCCAGGAATCTCTATCATCAATCGAAGGAACAGTGGTACCAGAAAACTCCATGATTAGTATCTCAAGTTCTCAATTCAGAACTTCAAAAGAGACAATTGAGCTCTTTTCAGGTCCCCCAATTCAAGTGCCACAACAGTTCAGTCCCATGGACAGGGAGGCCAGAGTTCTCAGATACAGGGAGAAGAGAAAGACAAGAAAATTTCAGAAAATTATCAGATATGCATCGAGGAAGGCCTACGCCGAGACGAGGCCTCGGATCAAGGGCCGGTTCGCCAAGAGAACAGATGCAGAGCTTGAAGTTGATCAGATGTTTGCTGCACCTGTAATGGTTGAAGCAGGCTATGGTGTTGTTCATTCTTACTAGTTTATTACAAGGAATATCTCATATCTCCTTCTGTGATAAGTGTAATATGTTAAATGAATCTCTCTCTCTTTTGTAAGTATTCTCATGTTTGCAAATCATGTTCAACCATTGCATGTTTTGTTCCTTGTGCTTTGTTCTATGATAATGAACTCTTCTTTAGCTTTATACGGAGGTATTTAGGCTTTGTTCGGGACGATTTTTTTGCTGCTTTTTAAAACAGCTTTTTAATAAAAAATTTTAAGAAGCAAGAAGAAAGCCGTCCCAAACGAAGCCTTAGACTTATATTATAATGCCTCCAGTCAAGCACTTATAACTAATCCACTATTAATCACTTAAATAATGATAAGTAGATTCACATCAGAAGAGCACGAATTTATACACATTTTAAAATCCTTTAAGCTTTCAAAAAAAGAATAAGACATTCAAATAGATTAGCAATTCGTCTATCATGATATTGTTGAGCTTTCAATCAAATATCTCAATCAAAAGCCTAAGACATTGTTAGGCTCCAACTACAGTTGAGTAGAGGCTCACAAATAACACTATCAAATCGCATCAATTTTCTAATTTTTAAAAAAAAAATTCTTATGAAATTTGCTCTGGTCATTAACATTACTCAAGTAAACTTAGGGGTTTTTTGTTTTTATAAAAAGTGAGTGTAAAACATTCAAAATATTGGGTTTAAAGAATTTTGGAATTTTGTTTGACAGAGAAGTAATAAATATTAAATTTTTAATAAATTTTAAGCTCATTCCATAGTTTTTTTTTATGTATTTAAAACTCACCCATTTTTTGCAAAATTTAAAACATGTTGCAACCTGACTCTGCTCTCAGCACTAGCTACCAGCCATTGACTACCACTGCTTGCCAGTCGACTCACAAGCAATCCGCTCTTCCTCCTAGCAGTGGACGGCGACCGACGGGTTCACGTCACGCATGTGGCATGCCATCTCCTCCCTTTCCTCAACCCTCATGCCGTCACATGTGCGCTTGCTCAGACAATCGGACAAGAGCTGAGAGTTTTTTTTTTTGGTTGATTTTATAAGTTATAATCTTCTTGTTCAGTTGTTTGGCATCTTCCTCCTTCAATCTTTTATTTCTATTGCCTTTATTTTGTTGTAGGTGTAGTAAGATCTCTGCCTTTTTTTTTTGTTGATTTTATTACCTTCTTGTTTGGCATATTCCTTCCAATTTTTGTTTGTATTATATTTATTTTACTGTAGGTGTAGTAAGTCCTATTCCTTTATTTTTTTGGCTATTTTGATTATTGTTTGTTCTCTAGTAGCTTTATTCTTGTTGAGTTGTTTGAATATGCTATCTTGTTTGAATTCTTAACAGATATATAATCTTAAGGCATCTTTGAGTACGAGTTTGAACATAGCAATCAGGTTGAAGAGCAAAATGACAATAGCAATTAGGTTGAAGAGCAAAATGAAAAATGCATTCGAGTGGATGTTGATTTACCTAAAAATATGGAAGTAAATGTAGAAATCTTCCATCTGATTCAGGACTATGAATTCATATTGCTGACTTTAATCCTAACATTTTGGATGAAGTCGGTAGAATATATTTACAACGAGGGTCATTTCAATCTCGTAATCATGATTTTTCAAAAAGTAAATTCGGGATAAAAGACAAACGATTTAATTCTACTTGTTTTGACAAATACTCTGATGGGCTGTATTATAGCATATAAAAATAAAAAATATTGTCTTTATTATTATCTTTTCAGAAAACCAGGTAGAGGCAACAAAGAGAAAGAAGCATTTAATAAAAATGGATTTTCAAATTGAAAAAAACAAACAAATTTGATATTCATGTAGGAAGCCATAATAGTGCGCATAATAATGCAAGACGTAGTTGTGAAGACCTAATGAAGCATAGTTAATATATTAGTTTTGTGTTCGAAAAGCAATTCGATCAAGCTACATCTGCATATCATACCCCATCAATACTTATGTTGATTGCATAAGATTTCTTTTGAAATAAGGACTAGTTTTATTAGGACATGATGAGTCTTACACATCAAAAAATCAAGATAATTTTCTTAAAATGGTATAATTTTCTACTGAACTTAACAAAGACATACAAAATGTGGTGTTAAACAATGCACCTGAGAATTTAAGGTTAATTGCACCTGAGATTTTAAAATATATTACTAGAGCATTCGCTATTGCAATTACAAACTTTACATTTAAGGAGATTGGTGATAAATTTCTCTCAATTTTAGTTGATAAATCGTGTGGCACATCCGCTAAAGAGTAAATGGCAATTGTAGTCCGTTTTGTTAAAAAGAAAGGTGAGATAGTATAACATTTTTTTTTTTTTCATGTGTTAGATACAACTGCAAATAGCCTTAAAATGGCAATTAAACAAATTCTATCAACATATGGTTTAAGCATTTCTAGAATACAGGGTCAAAACTACGATAATGCTATTGTTGTGAGAGGGGAGTTTAATGGTCTAAAGGCACTTTTTCTTAATGAAAATTAACTAGCACATTTCATTCATCGCTTCTCACATTAGCTTCAATTAGCATTTGTCGCATTTGTGAAAAGTCGTGTTCATATTGCTATGTTATTTACTATAATTTTGAGTGTAATAAATCTTGTTAGTGTTTCTTGTCTGGGAAATACAATGAGAAAATACATTAAATGAATTACTAAATGAAAAATTTTTATCTGGGTAAGGTTTAAATCAAGAAATAGTCCTTAGACGTGCAGGCGATGTGAGGTGGGGTTCACACTATGAATTAAATTTAAGGTTAATTATAATGTTATCTACAGTAATTGATGTTCTAGAATCATTTTGGAAGATGGTGTAAGCTGAGAATAAAAAGGAGAGGCGTATGCTTTATTAGAATTGTTACAGACCTTTGAGTTTTATTTTTTCCTATATCTGATGAAAGATGTTATTTGTATCACTAATGAACTATCACAAACTTTGCAGAGAGGAGAATAAGATATTTTGAATGCTATGTCTTTGATGTATATATGTAAAATAAGATTGCATGATATTAGAGATAACAAGTGGACTGACTTCATTAGTACTATAACCTCATTCTGTGAGCAACAAAAAATTAATGTTTCATATATGGATGATAAATGGGTTGCTCGTGGTTGACCTCGCCATGTAGCTCAAGATATAATAAATTTATATCATTTTCGGGTTAAATTTTTTTACACTGGTTAATATGCAGCTTCAACAGTTGAACAATCATTTTATAGAAATTAATATTGAGCTGCTTTTGTGCATGCATGTTTGAATCCTAATAACGGATTTCATGCATTCAACAAAAACAAGTTGATTAAAATGACACAATTTTATCTAATTGATTTTAGTCTTCTTGATTAGGCGGTTCTTGAAAATTAATTATATACTTATATCATGGATATGTAATCTGATGATCACTTCACCTCATTAAAAGAAGTAGGAAGTCTTGCTGAGAAAATGATCTAAAGTAGAAAAGATATTATATATCATGTTGTTTTCAGACTACTGGAATTAGCATTAGTATTATTCGTTGCTACAGGAGGCGTTGAAAGAGCATTTTTTGTCATGAATATTACAAAAAAAAAAAAAATAGCTGCCAAATAGGAATGGAGATCAATGAATGAATGATTTATTAACTACTTATATTGAGAAAGAAATTTTAGATTCTATTGATAATGAAGTAATCATTCAACTCTTTCAGAATATAAAAAATAGACACTATAAATTGTAATTTGTTTTTTATCTTATATTTAATATTATATGTTTTTTGATAATTATTGGAAAAAAAATTTAAAACTTCCTATGTCGGTCTGCCACTGCTCATGCGCACTACATGCTGTCATTGACAATAATGTTGAGCTTCTCATTACATTCATTTTACTTCAAATTAAAAATAATAATAATATATAATCATCAATATTTGTTTTTCATTCATCAAACAATTTCAAATATTTCAAATACATTGTACTCTTTTTCACTAAATTCTAGTTTACTCTGCAGTCCTTTCAGCAAACCAAACGATCCTCCCTTAATCCATTATTAAAGATAAATATTTATCAACCTTTCTTTTATATTCTTACTTTCTCTAAGTAAAAAAAAAAAGCAAACATTATGATATTCCAATGTTGACATGCTTATGTGTACTAAGGTTTCATTTGTGCTAACTTTCTTAATATTTTATAAAGCAACTTTTTAGTATAAAAATTTCTAGTCCAAAGAAATTTTATACTGAAAAAGTTGATTTAAAAAATAATAAAAAAATTATTCCAAATAAAATCATAATCCGATTAAAGTGAGCTAGCAACATCAAATATATGCATTTCAAGCTAAAGTAAGTGTCAGCCATCATAAGAAGTGTCAGCCATCATACTTGATTTTGATAAATAGAACAGAATTCATTCTCTTAGAGCATCTTCAGTACTGCAAACCTCAAAAGTTGGTGAGAAAGCAATGATGTGCTAATCAGATGGTCTACACACAACTCTCCTTGGCCTATTGGTTGAGAGCTAAGGCTTCCATCTAAGAGGTCTGAGGTTCGAGTCTATGTGTATTCGTCGTGTGTGTGAGTTTGCCTTAAATGGCCTAAATGTCCCAAAAAAAAAAAAAATCAGATGGTCTTATCTACTTGAAATTTATATTTATTTGATGTGCTTTCTACAAATCCTTTTCTGTTTGGGCGAATTTACTATTTAGATTTTGTTTGGACATAAAGATATTTTAAGAAGCAGTAAAAAACTGTCCCTAATGAAGCCTTGAGCTTCATTTAGGACGGCTTTTTTATTGCTTCTTGAAACAGCTTTTTTATTATAAAAACTAAATTTTTTATACAAGAGAGCTGCTTCAAGAAGCAGTAAAAAAGCCGTCCCGAACGAAGCCTTAATCTGATCAACCATCCAATTTCATCCCATTTTCACAACAACATTCTTCCCTATTTCATAACAACTTACTTACCTCGTCAATAGCCAGGTTTCATTTGAGACAGTTTTTTTAGTGCTTTCTAAAACAACTTTTTAGCTAAAAGTTCTCTTGAATTTAAAATTTTGCACTAAAAACTTACTCTAGGCTTCCTTCCTTTTTCTAAAGAACAATTAATTAATAAAATGCTTCTATTTATGAATAATTAATTAAGATGTTTAAGAATTAAGAATGATTAAGCTTGTTAGATGAGGAGA